CCCGGCCCTGGGGTCGTCACGGAGGGGCTGGGGACAGCGCCGGGCTCTGGGGGGTGGCCAGGTTGGCACCGGGCTGCGGACACTGTCCAGCTTTGCCCCTGGCAGATCGTCATCGCCACGCCGGGGCGGCTCATCGACGTGCTGGAGAACCGCTACCTGGTGCTGAGCCGCTGCACCTACGTGGTGCTGGACGAGGCTGACCGCATGATCGACATGGGCTTCGAGCCCGACGTGCAGAAGATCCTGGAGCACATGCCTGTCACCAACCAAAAACCCGACACCGATGAGGCCGAGGACCCGGAGAAGATGTTGGCCAACTTCGAGTCGGGGAAACACAAGTACAGGCAGGTGGGTGCAGTGCGAGGCACCGGGAGGCAGCGCGGCGGCCACGGAGGGGACGAGGGGGCGTTGCTGTCCCCAGGGGGGTGTCGCTGACGTCCCCTGTGTCTCTCGCAGACCGTGATGTTCACGGCCACGATGCCGCCCGCGGTGGAGCGCCTGGCCCGCAGCTACCTGCGCCGCCCGGCCGTGGTCTACATCGGCTCCGCCGGGAAGCCTCACGAGCGCGTGGAGCAGAAGGTCTTCCTCATGTCGGAGTCGGAGAAGAGGTGCGGAGAGGGCTCCTGCGCCGGGCTGGGGCACGGAGGGAGGATCTGGGGGGCTGGTGTGGGATGCAGAGAGCAAAGGAGCTCTGGGAGGGAAGGGTGCAGAGCACCGTGGCGTCTCCTGGCCCAACTCTCCTCTTGCCCAACAGGAAGAAGCTGTTGGCCATCCTGGAACAGGGCTTCGACCCGCCCATCATCATCTTCGTCAACCAGAAGAAGGGCTGCGACGTGCTGGCCAAGTCACTGGAGAAGATGGGGGTGAGTCCGGGCTGGAGCAGCATCCGCAGCTCTGGCGGGGTCATCCCAGGCTCCGCAGGTCCCGTCCTGCACCACGGGACTCGCTCCCCGGCTCCTGGCTGCGCACGGAGACCCCGTGACTCGACTTGGGGCTCTGTGGGCACCGTGTGTCACCTGCTGACGCCTGTCCCTGGTCCCGCAGTACAACGCGTGCACCCTGCACGGCGGCAAGGGCCAGGAGCAGCGAGAGTTCGCCCTGTCCAACCTGAAGGCCGGGGCCAAGGACATCCTGGTGGCCACGGACGTGGCCGGTCGCGGTATCGACATCCACGACGTCTCCATGGTCGTCAA